GATAAAAATGCCAAATCCAGTCTAAACATCTGGCTGACTGTGCGACCAAACATAATAATAAAAAATCCAAATAGTTATGGTAGTTGTGAGTGGAGTTATGCTCCAGTTTCCAAGAGTCATGATCCCCAAACTGGTCAGGCTTCAACTCCTGGGGGATTCTGAGAATTGAAGTCCACACATCTTAAAGTTGCTGAGATTGAGAAATGCTACTTTAGTGATCCCCAAATGCTAAGCTAAGTCAGATCTGGTCAATACTTGGATGGGAGACTATCAGGAAATCCTAGAGTTGTAGGCTAGACTGGGAAGTTAAAAATCACCCTAAAAGAAGGCAATAGCTTGCAATTTCTGTGTTGTTGCCAAGAAAAATTACATAGATGTTTCTATGACATGGAATACTATTTGAAGGAAACTATCTTTTAAACATCTGCTCTATAAATTCCTGTATATCATATTTTTAATGCCACAAGATGGCACTCTTGCATGTGGTCTAACTCTCATCTGATGTGCCTGAATTCCTGGTATTTTCAAAAGTAGAACAGTCTTATTTTGGTTTTTTTTTAGAATTTTTTTTTTTACTATGCATGGAAGTGACAAATAGGGTTGATGTAACCAAGGGAATTGCTAGTAGATACTGAGCCAAGTTTCAGGAAGCAGCAAAACCACAGAGAAGCTTGTTGCTGCTTTTGCCTAAGCATCAGACTACAATTTGTTATTTCTGGGATAACATTCCACCAGCCAATTTGCATAATTGCTTTAAACCGAGCAACTGTTTTGTGGCATAGTGCAAAATGTGTGATTTAGGCTGCTAACTGATAGATGGCCTCAAAATTCATTTATTGCAATACAGGGGAAAAAAACAACAACTCTGCCTCGTATGCCAACTGTTTTCCAGACTCACTTGCAGTTGGTGGCTTTAACTTTTCAAGTTCTAAATATTTTAGAGCTCAGCTCACTAATGGCATGCCTGTTTCTGAAAGGACTTTTTTTTAATGATTTGAATCAGAGGGGCTTTTTCTGAGAAATGTGACTTCTGTAAAATGGGCATTGGAAAAAGGATTGGCTTTAGAAGAGAGGCTGGCCATGCCTGAAGGAATGCTTGGTATGGCAAAATCAATTTCTACTTCTTGTGCGAGCCCACTTTTATTTCTGTCCCTGATAAGACTGTAAATACTTGACTAGTGTACCTTAGTCATACAGAGGCATTTTTAAAACCTATCTTCATGATCAAAAATGTCCTCTCTTTTCTTCCCCTAGGCTTGAATTGTACAGAAAAATGCCAAACCTGCGAATCCTGGCCTGTGGTGGGGATGGAACAGTAAGGCTTTTCATTAGCTTGATTTTTAAACAGTAGTAGGCAATAGCAGTGATTGTTGGAGAAATTACTAAAACAAAATAGTTTTTTACTGTTTTTCATTAGGTTTAATGGTTAAATTTTGTGATTGTTAGCTTGTGTTTTAATTGTGTATGCCACCCAGAGTCACATACAAGTGAGATGGGCAGCTCTGTAAAGTCAATCAATCAATCAATCAATCAATCAATCAATCAATCAATCAAGTCTTGCAAGATATGACAATCTAGCAAAGCTATCAGTCTGTCTGTCTGTCTATCTGTCTATCTATCATCTATCTATCTATCTATCTATCTATCTATCTATCTATCTATC